GCAGCAGAAAGGGACTATCTCAATTAGTGAGAAGGGGCAGACAAGTAACACCCCAAAAAAAGCTCTGGATTAGCAACCAAAAGAGAAGGAAGCACAAACAATACAAAAAGATATCCATGATGATGAGCCTATGATGCAATCTACAGGGTGGGTCACACCAAGGAATCAAAGGAGATACCAACAGAAGCCAAATCAGCAAATGGTAAAGCAAAATACATTTCAGGTACTTGCCAGGCCTGAGACTAGTAGACAAACAAATGTGACAGTGGAGAAAGAGGGAGGCCAACATATGCCTCACTCAGGGAATGGATAACATCATCAGCTGGAATGTTAGGAGCTTAAATGGCCCGAATAAGCAAAAGGAGGTTAAACTCCTTTGCAATAAGGAAAGAGTAGGACTGATTGGACTACTAGAAAACAAAATAAAAAGTAATAAAATCAGTCAAGTAACAGAAAATCTCTTTGGAGGGTGGCAGTACTTAACAAATCTAGAATACCATTACAATGGTAGAATTTTGGCTACCTGGAGGCCAAATTATTTCTAGGTGATGCCAATGACTATGAGTGCATAAATGATCACATGTGAGGTATTGCATATTCCTCTACAAGTTTCATTTGTAGTGACTTTTGTGTATGCCTTTAATACGAGAGAAGAGAGAAGAGGATTATAGAACAGCCTGCTTAGGTTGAATGCAGAGATTCAAAAACCTTGGTTGATACTTGGAGATTTCAACTCAATACTGACAACTGAAGATAGAGTAAATGGTAATCCAATATCATGGGCAGAGGTGGTGGATTTTGCTAATTGTATTGAGGAAGGTGAGGTTATTGAATTACCCTATCAAGGGAGCAGATATACTTGGAGTGATAAGCATGAGCATCAAATCCTATCTAAAATAGATTGGACATTTATCAATGGATCTTGGGTGGATGTGTTGCCCTCTAGTAAGACCACTTTCTTACCGGAAGGGATTAGTGATCACTGTCCAACTAAGGTAATCATGGATGAAGACATGGCCAATCATGTGAAATCATTCATATATTGCAATAATTGGAGTCAACATCCCCACTTTACAAGGCTGGTAGAAGAAGGATGGCTGGTGCAAGTTGAAGGGTACAAAATGTTTCAGATAGTTAAGAGACTGAAATTGCTCAAGAAGAAGTTAAAGAAGCTAAATACGGACCATTCCAGTAATATAGTAGCAGAGGCAGAAGAGGATAGAAAGGCTTTGCACCAGGCTCATGTATACAAGACCTTTAGATATTAAACTTCAAGCAATTGAAAAGGAGAAGTATCTGAAATTCAAAAGATCTTCTTACCTAGCAGAAATGTATTTACAACAAAGGAGTAAAGCCACTTGGCTACAATTGGGAGATGATAATACTAGCTACTTTTACTTTATTATAAAACACAGAAAACTGAAGCAAGCAATAACTCAGATCAAGAATGACCAGGGTGAGCTAAAAACTAATTAAGACAATATAGCTCAGGTATTTTAAATTACTATCAAGACCTGTTGGGAAAGAAGGCAATAACTAGGGTATCAGCTCATTCAGAAATCATCAAGAGGGGAAACACTTTGTCTACAATACAACAAATGCAGCTTATAAAGGAGTTCACAGAGGAAGAAGTCAAAGCAGTCATGTTTAGTATTGGCAAAAACAAAAGTCCTGGGCCAGATGGATATGGAAGTGGATTCTATAAAGCAGCTTGGAGTATTGTGGGAAAAGATGTCACTGAAGTTGTTCTTGAATTTTTTCATAATGGGAAGATGCTTCGACAGATCAATGCCACAAACATTGCCCTTATTCCAAAAAGTGATCATCCGGAAAGTGCAAGTCAGTATAGACCAATAGCTTGCTGTAATGTGTTATACAAGTGCATCTCAAAAATGTTGTGCAGGAGACTCAAAGAAGCAGTGAGTCATATAGTTGCAGATAATCAATCTGCATTTGTTCAAGGAAGGTCTATGATCCATAATATCCTAATATGCCATGATCTCCTCAGACACTACAATCGAAAAACCTCACCGAGATGTCTTATGAAAATAGATCTCAGGAAAGCATATGACATGGTAAGTTGGGAATTTTTGGAGGAAGCTTTGAGGGGGTATGGATTTCCTGAGAAATTCATCAGGTTGGTCATGACATGTGTATCCACCCCAAAGTTCACTATCAAAATTAATAGAGAAAGCCAGGGTTATTTTGATGGTCATAGAGGGCTCAGACAAGGAGATCCTGTATCTCCTCTATTATTTGTGTTGGTAATGGAATACTTAACTAGAGTCCTCAATTGTATGAGTTTGCTGCCAGACTTCAAATATCATCCAATGTGTAAATCTCTAAAACTTACTCATCTGATCTTTGCGGATGACCTGATGGTATTTTGTAAAGGGGATGAAGACTTAATCAACAGAGTTCTAGAGGCTTTAAACCATTTTAGTGCTGCTACAGGACTTATTGCTAACATGGATAAATCACATATGTTTGTTGCTGGTGTGCCTGATCAAGTTAAAGCTCAACTGTTGGATAAGACTAGATTTTCCCAGGGGACTTTTCCTATTAGATACTTAGGATTACCCTTGTCATCTAAGAAATAGAGTAAGTTTGAATGTCAACAGCTGATCAACAAGATTACAAGCCGGATAATAACTACTTATGCAAGAAAATTATCATATGCTGAAAGGCTGCAGGTACTTAATGTTGTCCTATTTTCTCTACATAACTTTTGGGGCTCAGTTTTTATCCTACCACAGAGCATCTTAAGAGAAGTTGATAGGAAGTGTAGGGAGTACCTATGGGGTAAAATAGGGAACAAAAGAAAGCATCCTTAGTCTCTTGGGATAAAGTCTGCTTGCCTAAGAGTAGAGGAGGTCTAAATGTCAAGGATTGCAGAACTTGGAACATTGCTTCAGTGGGTAAGCTATTGTGGCAATTGATAGAAAGGAAGGACTCATTATGGGTGAGATGGGTTCATGGTGTGTATATAAAAACAGACTCAGATATATGGAGCCACAATGCACCTTAAGATAGTAGTTGGTACTGGAGAAAGATCAACTCTCTCAAGAACCAAATGCAAAGCTGGTATGACCAGGAAAGATACATTCTCACAGCTGGGGGAGGATATTCAATCACTAAAAGCTACTTGCAGCTGAAGGGAGAGCACAACAAAATGGAAGTGTCAGATCTTATTTGGAACTCAGTAGCTCTACCTAGATACAGATTTCATATGTGGCTAGTAGTCTATGGTAGACTATTGATAAAAGAAAGATTGCTCAGATTGCACATACCAGAAGAGAATCCCAATTGCTGCTTATGTGACCATCGGGTTATAGAGACAAGTACACATTTATTTGTGGACTGCAATTGGATCACAGCTTTGAGAGTTGAACTTATTCAATGGACTAATGCTCAACTCCATGTTGGAGAGCTGAAACAGGTGTTGGAATGCATCAAGAGGAAGCACTGGAAAACATTCAAAAAGGAGGTTATAGCAGCTGTTTGGGGAGCCATGACATACCGGACTTGGCGAGCTCGGAATTACAAAGTGTTTAAGGGTGCTATACTACAACCAGCAGAAGTAGCAACACAGATAAAGAGAGAAATTGTACAAAGAATAGAAGTACTTAGATCGTCAAAAAAAAAAAAAAGCACAGATGAGTAGAGAGTTTTTACATAGAATACTTAGTTGAAGTACAGTTTGGCATAATTGTAACTAGTTGTTGTAGGAGGCTTATTGTTCAGAGTACCCTTCCTAGAAGGTGGCTATGGAAATAAATGCTCTATATGTGTATTAATTTGGTTTGTTAATGGTAATATTCACATTGTTACCAAAAAAAATTTACATATAGTATAATTTATTTTAAAATTTACAACTTTTCATATTCCTAATATATATCTCTTGAGATTATCTCACCTAAAATGTATCCTAATATCTCTCTTAAGATTCTCTTTCATCTAAAAGTATCTATCATATTAATTTTTCTCTAATTTCTCCATTAATATATTGTATATTGTATATTTCTTGTACAAAATGTATGTTATATGATTAATATACAATATACAAACACTGAACTGAAAAAAAAATATCATTAATAAATATACTACATAGAGTATAATATATATCATGTATATATTAAAAAATATACAATATTATATTATAAAAGAACTTGGGGGGACAGGGTTTTGCATTGACGGAGACGTGAAGAAGAATCAAATTTGGGGAATCCTTTGAGATTTTTGGATTATTTAAAACTAACAAAGGCATGTTTTTTTTTTGTAAGGATATAATATGATTGATGCATAATACAAGGGGATATGATTTGATTGATGCATAATACACGGATAATTAAGGCAAGTGAGTGCTTATAGTGGTAATCAATATTAATGAATTGGAGAATTTTTACGGACAAATAAGGATACGTTTCAAAATAGGATTCCTCATTAATAGGGAATCTATCATATTTTTAGAGGGTATCTTTTATATTTTGTTGTAGAATTTTTAATTCTAATACAAGTTGTAGATTATGGAATATTTTATAAATTCCTAAGTAACTAAAAAAATTTTCCTAAATTTGTGGACCCATATCTTACACTTTTGGGTCCACAATAGTCCTTATTTTATTTTTATTTTTTAAAAAGATATTTGAGTAGTCCTGTATAGAAAGGACTCTGGTGGATTCATGAAAGAATTATAGCAGTAAATACCCATTTTATCAGGAATTATCTTCTGTAATATATTTAAACAATGCATGGTGCTCGAATTTGGACGGATTAGCAGAAAAATGGCTGAAGTGCCTTCTATAATCAACAACAACCCAGTTAAATCCCACTAGTTAAGTCTAGGGAGGGTAGTGTGTACGCAGACCTTACCCCTACCCCAAGGGGGTAGAGAGGCTGTTTCCGAAAGACCATCGGCTCAAGAAGACGAAAAGAAACAATATATCAGTACCATCGAAAGAAACCATGAAACAAATAACAGCATCACCAGAACCAGAAAATAGAAAAATGCCTTCTATAATCGAAACCATAAATTCCCATCTACTCAGTTTCTTAACAAAACAATGCTATTGTCAAATGTCTGATGCTCTAAAATTAAGCTTTTCTACTAACATGGCAGCAATGATCCTTAGCAAATGTTACATCTTCCAAATTTCTTCTAATTCATATTGATTTGGAAAAAAAAACGAATTAACAGCTTTTAAAAGCAGTGGCTTTTCCCTGTTCTGCAAAGCTATGCACTCCGGGCTCTTCAAAAAGCTTGACTACGCCAAATAATATATGCCTAATGATTTCATTTCTTCACGTCAGGGGAGGGACCTTCATTTTTAATTTGCTTTTGATCAGGCAAAGATGCTTCTGATTGAGTTTTTCCATCACTAGAGGGAATTGTCTTTTCCTGAGCCGTAGGAGTCCCTGTCTTGGTTGTTCCAGATTTTTTCTTGACAGCATTGCTGGCTGGTTTATCTGCAACATCACCTGATTGTTTTTTGGACTCGACCAAAATTTCTTTCAAGGTCTCCTCCAACTTATCTAGTCTTGCTTTCACCTCGGAAAGTTGTGGATCAGTCACTTGTTTTTCCTCCTCAGCCATTAATTCTAGCTCTTTTGCTTTTGTTTCTTCTTCAGCTTTCTTTTTCAATTCAGCTTCCTGATTGGAATTTTTTTAACAAGATAGTCAATAGAACTAATACTAGCAAAAAGCAACGGAAGTATGAGTAAGCAAGAAGCTTTGATCTTTCAAGTAAGGAACATTGGTAACGTTATTTGAAGAGCGCTCCCATTTTGCACTTAAAGAAGTTAATTTCCAAAAAAAATGTATAACTAAAGAAAAAACATTAAGCAATGATTCAACAGTCATTATAACATGTTTCAGAGATAGCATAATAGACAGCATTTAACAAGACAAAAGCAAGTATATAAAGTAGCTTAATAAAATATTGATATTTTGTAACAAGTCAACAAGACAAGCAAATTTGAAAGGACTATGGCTTTCAGTTTAGTTATCTATTCTTCAGACATTTAAATTAGTTACTTTATTCAAATGGTAAAATTAGATCCATAGTTGATGTAGTAATCTCATACAGAAAACAAACTCCTCCTAAAACATTTCATTTCACATCTCAAAACTAAATCTTCAACTTCCGGAAAACCTAGCAATTTCACATCTCAAAACTAAATCTTCAACTTCCGGAAAACCTAGCAACAGAGTATAACTTCTAATCACAGCACACATTATGCTGAAATGGGTATGTTTCCAGAGATGCGCATGCAACTTCCCCCATTCCTGGAAAGTTAAATTGATTTAGCTTATAAAGGAACACCATTCAAACCTTCTTCTGCATTTTTGCATAATATAGTTCTTGGTAGTAAGAAGAATTTATACTCTTCACTAGCTTATGAGACTCTACAGCCTTTTCTTTTCACGCCTTTTAAAAGTTCACTACCCCTCTCTTTTAGCTTTCACACGTAGAATTGATGACATCAGTCCCAACACTAGCATAACATTGCAAGAAAGAGTCTTATATTCATACTAAAAAGCACAAGTATTCCATCGTTTTCTTTTTAATCAAAGGACTTCCTTAGTTTTACAAACCAAGAAGGTTGTATGTAGTATTCTCATTCTTCTACCATTCTTCACCAACTATCAATACAAAATCCATATTACTGAACGTTCTTTTATTCCTCCAATTCCATATGTCCAAAACTGAAACAATGGTGTCGTTCCCAAACTATATTCCTTTCCCTTCCGACTATCTGTATCTTCCAACTCCTGTCTCATCTGCCATCCTCAGTACCAACCATCAGATAAATATGTATCTATATAAGGAGCAACAACAACACCAACGACTACTACTACGCCTCAATGCCAAGTAAGTCGGTTTCAACTACATGAATCCTCACTGTCCATGTTTCTCCATTTAAGCTATCTCAGTCCAAGATTCTATAAAATTAAGTTAAACATAAAACATAAGAAAACAGACTGCTTTTTGGTTTAGTATTGGGGGAATCAGTTCTGCTTTTGTTCTTCGGTAAAACAATTGTGTGTTTGAATTTGGTTTTTAGTTTGCTTTAGAAAAATGGGGTTCAGAGCCTTTTACATTTTCTTGGGAAATATATCACTAAACTCCAAAACGTTAATAAAGTATTGTAACAAATATATTTAAATCGACTAAACTTCTTTATTTCATACTAAATGTATTTTAAAATCAAAATAAATTCTAAATGGAAAAGCGATCTGGTGCCATTGAGTAAAACAAAGATGGGGTGTAGTATAATTTCGGGTAGCATAAAAGTGAGTGAAGGTCACATTTTACACTTGGGGCCATGCCAGAGCTCACTGTTTTGGGTCCGAAAGCACCATTTGCATTGTTCTCTGTTTTAGTGTTAAATTTCAAGGGAGAACAAATTTGCTTTGCCTTCTCATTCAGTAACTTGCTAAGAAGCAACTCGATGCATTTCATATACAAACTCAATCTTCCAGACATGCCTCATCAACCATTTACGGGAAGCCTGCACTCTTATACTCGAGTACAAATATCCCGTAAAGACTCTATAAAAACTATTCCACAAACACATTGAGTAAACAAGAAGTGACCTTAATAAATGGAGATCTACCACTAGCAAGTATAATTCTAAGATGGAAAAAAAAAATATCAAAGGAGGAGAAGTTTACCGCCTCCATTCTTCTCATTTCATAGCGAGAATACTGAGCCACCAAATATACAGCTGTAAGGAAATGGCATTTCAGAGAGAATTACCAAATGAAAGGTACTTTAAACATGAAATTAAAATGTGATAAACATGAAAAAAGGGGTACCCAGTGAAGGCAAGCAGGCAAAGAAGAATTGTACCAGATGAAAATCAAACCTGATCATGAAAGAAATCAGAAAAAATGTCAAACAACAAAAATATGGACGGCATTTCGTTAGAAGTGCATTTCTGATTCAATATTAACAACCCAACAGGAGGTAGAGAACATATAAGAAAAGTAGGTATAGATATATGCATCCGGAGTTCAACCAGTGTTAGAGAAAGCGCTCGCTTCCTCGCTTAAAGCGAGAAGCGAAGCGAAGCGGCCCTTTACCCACTTCTGCCATGTGAAGCGACTCAGGTAGAAAAAGCGACCGCTTCCCACTAAAAAGCGAGAAGCGACCAATCGAAGCGACGCGATGCAAGCGAGCGCTTCTTCTTCAACACGACAGCTGCCGGGCTTTTTAATTAAAAAAAGAAGGGTTTCAGTGTTCTTTTATTAAACACGACCAGCAGAGATTCAACTAAAAGGGCGACTAGGGTTCTTCAACTTCAACTTCAAGTCTTCAATAGAGATTCAACTTCAAGTCTTCACAGGTATGTGATGATTTTCCTTCTTCTTCTTCTTTTTCTTTTTCTTTCACTGTTTCAACGTCCAAATAGCAGCGAAATGCTGGCGAATTTTTTTTTTTAACCTTCGGTTCTTCTTTCTCAGTTTTCTCCTCTTCGTTGAAATGCTGCCCAATTTTTTTTCCATTGTTTTTATGTTGCCCAATTTTTAACAGAACCATACTGCCCTTCCTCTTATTTTTATATCCTTTATTCTCAGTTCTTATTGCCTTTATTATGTGTTATGTAGTTGTTCTTTTAATGGCACCAAAAGAATAGGAAAGACCCGGCTTGGGCTTACTCTGCAAGAGTTAGCGAGACCAACAAGATGGCAATTAGATGTCTTTTTTGTGACAAGATTTCAAATGGGGGAATCTATCGTCAAAAAGCGCATCCAATCGGTGATGATCCAAATGTGGCATCTTGTCCTAAAGTTCCGTCGCATGTGAAGAAAGAATTGAAAGCATTCCTTCAAAAAAAAAGAGTTAGACTCAAATGATTCATGAACAAGAACTGTATGATCTTGATGATGACGATGATGAAATAGAAGAAGGTGACGATGCTTCGTCGCTTCCATCAAAATCACAAAAGCGGGGAAGGATGCAAACAATGTCTTCTAGTTGCGGATCTACTGTCAAGACCAAAGGTCCTATGGATTGTTACTTCCCGCAAAAATCTGGAGATAAGGGAGGAAAAAGTGGTAATCCTCAAATTGATGCCAAAGCGATTTTGAGGGATCGTGCAGTTACAATGTTTGCGCGGTGGATGTATGATGTCGGTCTTCCTTTTAATTGTGTTAATTATACTGACACTTTTTCTGCTTTTATTAAGGCCGTAGGCCAATATAGTCAAGGAATGAAGCCTCCAACTTATCATGAAGTTAGAGGTCCATATCTAAAAAAAGAGGTAAACAAAATCGTGGAGGAGCACAAAGTAGAATGGAACAAGTTTGGTTGTTCCATTATGATGGATAGGTAAACGGCAAGAAATGGAAAAATGATCATCAATATCTTGGTGAATTCTCCTAAGGGAAGCTTGTTTCTTGAGTCCGTTGATGCAAACGACTCTTCGACTGATTCAACCAAAATGTACTCCTTGTTCAAGAGTACAATAGACTCTATTGGAGCAGAAAATGTTACTCAAATTGTCACGGACAACGCCAGTGAAAATGTTAAAGCTGGTGATTTGATATTTGTTGGGTACCCACATATTTATTGGACTCCGTGTGCAGCACATTGCATTAATTTGATCTTTGGTGACATTTTCAAGGAAAGACCCTTCAGTTCAGTCTTTAATCAGGCAATTAGAGTGCATTCCTAAATTGTTCAAAGGCCTTTGTTATTGAATATGATGAAGAGATTCACTAAACAAAGAAGCTTGGTGAAACCTGTAAAGACAAGATTTGCTACCGCTTTCTTCACTTTGCATAGGATGTATGAGCAAAAAAGCAATTTGAAGAAGTTGTTTGTTTCAGATGAGTACACTAACAGTGCCTATGGAAGGGAAGCTCGAGGGAGAGAATCTGCAGATATTATACTTTTTCTTTCATTCTGGAACAATGTGGTTCATGCATTGAAGATTGGTGGTCCTTTAGTTAAAGTGCTTCCTTTGGTGGATGGGAAAAAAAGGCCACCAATGGGCTACCTTTACGAAGCAATGGATAGGGCAAAGGAGGCTATTCAAGCCTCTTTTAGTGATCAAAGAAAATACAAAAGAGTCTTTGAGATCATAGATAAAAGGTGGGATGGTCAGCATCATCGCCCTTTGCATGCAGCTGGATTTGTTTTGAACCCGGGACTGTTTTATGACAATGAAGAGAGGATTCTAAGAGATGAACATTTGTGGAAGGGATACATTGAATGTATTGAGAAGTTGATACCTGAAGAATCCGTACAAGATAAAATAACAGAGCAATTTAGTACTTATAGGAATGCTGAGCAACTTTTTGAAAAAAACATGGCGATTAGACAAAGAAAAGTGAAGTCACCAGGTGAGCGAGTGCTTATATGTTGCTTTATAGTCTAAGTTGCTCCGACATGGCAGTTTAGGTGTCGCACCCGTGTCGACATAACACTAGTATGGGTGTGGGTATGGGATCCGTACCGGATCTGGTCAAACAATTTTGGGTACTTTGACCACGACGGACGAAAAAATTCGAGACGATATACAATTTAATTCCGAAATCAAAACCAAAACTAGGGTAAATTTGAAGAAAATAGCATAGCTTATCTAGGATATCAATCCTTTACTTATCTACAACTTGAGAATAAAAAAGAAATCTATACTTTACAAGCTATACATAAGTATCCACAAAATTTCTCATAAATTAGAGATATTTTCTATATTTTTATTTTTTTGAATTATTTTTAGTCGGATCCCCTCACCCGTATCCTTACTAAGATCCGTATCCCCGGATCTTAGAATTTATATCTCGAAAGATCCGACCTCTAGATCCGCACCCGTGTCCGACATCTGCACCCGTGTCCGAGCAACTTAGTTTATAGTTAATAAGTTATTTCTTTATCAATATTATGTTTTGAATATTTGTTCTACCTCTACGGTTGAATGGTGGAATCAATATGGCCATTCCACTCCAGATTTACAAAAGTTTGCCATCAAGGTTCTAAGTCTAAGATGTAGCTCATCCGGGTGTAAAAGGAATTGGAGCGTGTTTGAATATGTAAGAACTAAGAAGAAAGATTTAGTATATTGAAATAATTAAATTATATCTCAATTGTCCT